CACATCTTACTGCTACAGTATTTAGGTGCTAAACATGGCACTTAAGTGCATTTTCTATAATAGACATATTCTAAACAAATGCATTCTTCTGATTCTTAAAGGAAAAATCACTGGAGTTACCCTGGTATGAGAGGCTTCTGTTATACTCTGTGGTAGAAAAACTTGTGCTTACAATTAAATAGGAATTTTCTTAATTCTGTGAGCTTTGTCACTGAAGATTTAATTGTCATTTATATTTTGTCAGTAATCCCAGTTAAAACCCCTTGGTTCCAAGCATTCCCAAACACAACGGAATGTGGAAGCATGGCCTGAGCGTGCTTGGATATCCTTCATGGGGTTCCTCTTTAATGCTGCCTTTTGCTTGGCCTTAAACCAGGATTAAGTCATAGCAAAACCCCGGAGGTAGGTAGTCTCTGAGAAACTGCAGAGAAACAAACACTTTTCTTGGCAACAAACTCTCCTGGGTTGCAATTTGGGTAACACTTCATGGAAGAGGTAACACTTGCCTTGATTCAAAGGCATTCGGGTTGGCTTGCTGAGGGCTTATCGTCTGTGTGGGGCTGGGCCTTTTCAGGTAGCAGCTGGTAAGAAGCCACCTTCACTGGGGATTTAGGATGATGGGTTGAGTTGAGAAGAGGGGCAGCCACGGTGCAGGCTAAGGTGCTTCCAGCCAAGAAGCAATGACCCCAGCGGAAGGATGGGACAAACAGGAGGGAGCAGTAACATCTTAGGTTCCCATGGCTGGATCAGTGGGAAGATTGGAGAATCAGAGTGGTGTCTCCACAGGGAGCTCGTGGCATGGAGGAGAGGCACAACTGGTCTGCTGCTGGTGCTCAGGGTCACCATGATGCGTGAGCAGGTAGCTTTGCAAGGTGATGGATACTTTCTTGGATACTTTTCTTGGATATTTTTCTTGATTTCTGCTTGTCTGCTCCTATCCTGCCTGTCTTGCAGAGAGAGGCTCAAAAAGAGGAGTGTTTGGGTGTGAATAGCAATGGAAAACTAATGAGTGCTGCAGAAGGCTCTTTCCATCTTGGTAGCAAGCCTGTCTATCTTTGGTATATCTAGGCCAGTGTTCTGGCTGGCTTAACGTGGGTGTCTTAAAGAAGGATTTACAGTGGGCAGGGTGGGCAGTGATTAGTTTGTGATCTATCTTGCCGTTTTCCCTTTCTTCATTTGAAGTCTAGTCCCTCTTTCCAGCCTACTSTTGTCACCTGTAATATCCACAGCTAGAAGGTTCAAAATTCAGTTAGGCTTTCTGAGGAAACAAACGTCCACATTTTTATTGACGTTTCCCTGGTGTTTTTACCGTGACCAAAGACCTCTAAAAGCACTTAAAAAAATAGTTGTCATTTCTGTTTATCATTAAGCAGGTAAATAGTTCATAGTGAGGTACTTGCTTAAGAGACGATGGCCACAGTAGTAGGATATTGGTAGGAAGTGATTTCCTGAAGCCCCTTTGTTGATAACTGTACAACTCAATACAAACACTTACTATGTCTAACTGTATTAAGTCTGTACAGTATTATATGGTCTGGACTGCATGCAAATAGTTAGAAGATTCAGAAATATTGGGGCCTCCTGTCTGAGGAAGAAAACCGTCCGAAAATGGATTTAGTAGCTTTAAAAAAAAAATATGGAGTGGGGAAAAGGTAGGAGACTTCCCCTTTGTGAAACAGGGCTGAAGACAGAAGCAGGTGGATGTAAGAGAGTTTGTGCTAAACACTGGAGAGTTGAGATTATTTATCAGAGTTGGACTGTGAAAGTAGCTAATGGAGGTATGGTTTTAGAGCTTCTCATATTGAATTCCATGCAAGATCTTACACAAGAAAGAAACTGTATAAGCACTTAAGTGCACGCACATTTATATTTAATTGAAAGCATTTTTGAAATGGAAAAATGTGTACGTACTTAAATGTGACTTGTTTATGCTCAATGTACTGCCTAAATTAGTTTGTGCAGTCAGAAAAGCAATTCAATATTGTTTCTGGTTTCCAGTTTATGGTTTTGAAGAAAAAAAAAAAAAAAAAAGAAAAATCTCTCTTATTTTAGAGCTGCAGTATTTCATATGCAGTCACCAGCACAATAGAAAGTGTTAAGCCAAGACCTGCCTTCCAAACCTGCTGTCTTGCACAGCAGTGCCCTCAGTGTGGAAACAAAAGGTGTCAGAGTTTGTAGCAGTCCCAGTGTTCCACGCTGGGAACCTTGACCTGGGCATTATCAGCTTGAGTAAAATGCCCTCAAGGGAGAAGGGCTACCCAGAGATCCCTTTGGAAGGCCAGGAAGGCAGCGCTCAGGAACGTGAGAGGCGCTTTGCTGAGCCCCAGYGTGCCTTGTTGGCTTGGATCTACAGCTTTCTCTGTGGAGGGATACTGGGAAGTGGGACTGAATTCCATGTAGCTCGCCGAGCTTTTATAATGCACGCCTTACATTGCCGTCCTAGCAATTGGATTTACATCACAACCCGTGTATGGAAAAATTATCTTAAATTAAAGGATGTTTGCTTGCCTTTTTCTCTTCCTACCTCTCTGGGAGAAGGATTAGTTGCTATTGATTTCTCATATGCATGAAGATAATCAGAAATAGTCTCCCCTATAAGTCTTCTCCCAGCCCCCAGTAACCAACACATCATGTTCCACCTTCCTCCACCAGCACCGAGAGGCAGCTGCTTTGGGCAACAGTTTTACAGACCCTTCAGTGAATACTTAGAATCCCAGTCCTTCTGCTCCAGGCATTGATCCATCTCCTCATGTCCGGCAGGGGTTGTTTATTTTATGTACGTGATTGTGGGTTGTATGTTAGGTAGTTTTATCCCACTTSTGCGACTCCAGCTCCTACAGTCACGTGTTGCTTGATATATGATAACTGAATGCACCCTCATGTTGTAATGGTTTCCTGAGGTTGTCATCAGCTGTCTTCATTATTTTGTGCATGCAAGCAGTTAATTGGTTTAAAAATACTGTGGGTTTTTTAGTGGTTTTGTTGAGCATTTTCATTAGGAACTTCCCAGGTTTCTGTAGGTTTTTCTTTCTGTGCTGTCTGTCACTGTCTGTCTTGGGGAGGATCCTTATCAACACGGCAGTTTATCTACCAGTCTGCAATTTCATATACTTAAATAAGCCATAATACTTAATGACATTGACTTCATGTTTGTCAGAAATCCAGATAGCTGAGATGTWCTTTGATTTATCTGAAGTATTCTCCATTTGTAAACCTGTGTTTTATTAGTCCTGATCTCTATTTATATCTTTATTCTTCTCCATCAAAGTCATTACTGACAGCTCTTGTGCTGTTGTTGTCACATTCATGAGTTTTGCAGCAGTTTGTATTTGGGAAGTCAAGTTAGATCATAAAAAAWAGATATTAAAATATTTAAAGGCATCTACTTCCACCTTTTGAAAGATTGTTCTYTATTGGTTCAGAATAGTTGGATTTATATGAGTTTGTATGAGCAGTTGTGTGTTGTTTTTGTTGGGCAACTTCTAGGAGAAAGAGTTGTAAGAAGAGGTGAGTGTCTTTAAGGTGAATGTTTTTAAGGTGAATGTCTGATCGTCCATTTTCCTTCCTKCTTATGGCAGAGGAAGATGATACCTTCCTATTCAAAAAACAARTTAGGGAATGTGTTTTGACATCAGAGTGGCCTTGAGGGTTCCGCCAGCTCAGGTGGACGGGCAGCAGGTGATGTTCACTGGATACAGACCTAAATGGGAGATGGGCCATTAGTTTACTGAATGGCTGACTAGCTTTCCAGGTGTGATTTGGTTTCGACAGCCCGTCTGCACAAGCTTGGCTCAAACTGGTCTCAACTAAGCAGTTCCTGAGTGGTGCTGCACCAGGGTGAATGATGTTAGAGCAGGGCTGAGCCTTCGGAGCGGGAACTCGGGGGACTGTTCTCTGCATCTGCAGCAGAAGAGCAGGGATAAAGTCGTCTTCATTAACGTCTAAACAACTGAGTCACTAAACAATGGGTCACTTCCAGTGGCAAATGTCTACTGGAAATTACCTCTGAGAGAGATTTTCCTGTAGGTCTTATGTCCTACTTAAAACCAGTAGTAAAGGAAGCGGTTTGCAGGAGAAGAACATTTGTTAARTCTTTTAAGCTGATGTAGCAAATGATCCCTTAACTTTGCTAAAGGTAATGGTAAATTTAAGAAACACTGTGTATTGGCTTGTGTGACACATCTGAATTGTTGTGCTGATGTTTGATTTTTATTTTATTTTTGAGAAAATTAATTTTGCAGCTTAATTAAAAAAAAAAAATCTATCTTTGCAGTTTGATTTGAAGACTTCTGATGATTCCTTGCTGAAGTCTGTCATAGCATAAGGTTTCTGCAATGAGATAACATGCTTTAAACAAGTCTCTTCAGCGTAAGATACATCTCTAATTACTGAGACTAAATTATCTGAGAAGTGAGCTTGTCTGAAGTACATCTGTAGTAATGCTAAGATTAAATAATGATTAACCTAATTACTACAAGACCATAAAGAGCTACTCTTAATAAAAATACAGGATTCAAGCATGTGTTTTAAGAGAGGGTAATTTCATCAGCATCCTTTTCAAATAACTTCTGTCAAGGCCAGGTCTGTAGATGAAAGCAGTAGCTTTTGTTAGGCTTATTAGTAAAGCGGGGAAAAGTAGACTAGTTCTTGGGTATTTAAGCCTTTCTCAGACCTGAACAGATCTGTAGATTTCAGCACTGAGTATAGAGAACATTTGTTTTTAATTTCATTAATTATGTGCTGTTTAGACCTTCTGCAAGAGGTAGTAGATGGTATCGTTGGAGAAGAGTGTGGTATTAGTACAAGGAGGAGAGATAAAGTAGTTATTCCTCCTAGGCACAGAGCAACACGGATTATTTTTCTAAGAGTCTAAGTTAAAGAGAATTTAGGACCTGTGTTAGTAACTTGTGTGCTTTGCATTATATTTTGACTTGAAACGAAAACATATTTTGCCTTGATTAACTGAAGTTTGTTTTGCTTTGTTTGTTCTTCGCCTGCAGGCAAATGAGAAGGGCGATCTCGTGAAGCCCCAGGCAGCGGCCCTTCCCTGCCGGGAGGCGATGGAAGCTCTGCCGGTGCTGTGAATGTTGCCGGGTGCCGGAGGTTCCGCCGCGCTCGCGGTAAGCGCCACCACGGCCTCTTTGGACCTACCCTTTGCTGTGGCAGGGGGACGCTTGGAGAAGAGATGCGGGTGCAATCCTGCTTGCTCCATAGCTCGTGATCCGTGTGATTTGCTGGTCAGAAACCTCTTGGAACGTAACGTGGGGAGAGACCCCGCTCCTGCAGCTGGAGCTGTCGTGTTTGCTCGCGCGGGGCCGGCTGTGAACGCTGGGTCTGTGAGTAGTGTGCAGAAGGGGAAGTGTGGCTTTGTGGTGCCTTTAAAGACCTTCTTGTGAAATTCTTAGAAATCTCCTGAATGCTCATTCTAGAGTCATCTTGGATTGGGCTGCATTTAATTCAGATATCTATGAATGTTGTCCATTTTCCATATAGAGAAATATTGTTCTAAAGCGTCCAAACTTGCTTCTTTTTGTCCCCTTTTTCTTGTTTTTCCTAGAAAACATGGCAGCGATGAGGAAAGCTGACAAGACCCTGCTGACAATAGGACAGGGTTTATCAGGACAAGATTTTAAAACCCCAGAATGGCTAGTAGCAAGTGTTGACATCTTAATGGTGATTTCTTTCATCCAATTCATGGCCTCTGTAGCTCATTTATAGGAAAGTAATTTAATCTTGATGCTTTTATATACCAGCAGTGCTGGTAGCTTTTCAGCAGCTGTTACAGGACAAGTAGTCTCCCAAGAAATTCTTGAGACTTTCCATGGGATGTTTCCATGACATACATCTCAAGGCCCTGATTCAGAGTGATACATATTGGGCCAGTCCCGCTCTGCTCAGGGATTGTATTCTAACCCTTGTGAAGTTATATCCCTTCTGAAGCTGATTATTTTTTGCTTTGAAGAAAGTTGCAGTATTTAYCCAAAGCATGGTGGACAGGTAGGTAGGTGGTAACCCCTTTTGGCAAGTCCAAAATGCTCTTGGACCAAAACTTTACTTGAAACCAATTAATCTGGTTGGTTTGAAACCACATAAATCTGGTTAATACTGATCATCTGCAACTCCTGAAAACAGCCTTGTTAAAAAGACCTGGTGGTCAGCTACTGTTGTTGCTGTTTTTACCTTTTTCTTTTTCTTCCCCRGAATGTTTTGGCCTGGGCTTGCTGCTGTTGATGTAAAAGCAATGCTGGGGAAATGCTTGAAAGCTTCAGCTTGCTGTTTTGTAGTTTATCACCCAATTCATATGGATGCAATCTATTTATTTATTTATATATAGATTTTTGTGAAAGGCCTGAAAATGTTGTCAGTATGAGCGTTAGGGAGAACTTGAGTTTGCTCATGGGGACAGTTTATATAAACTCTGCAAGGCCGTTGAATTTTCAAGTTGCTTCTCTCTGGAGAAGGGAGAACTTGGGCTTCTTGTACGCTGTCCTTTCTCCTTGGTGCACGTTCTCCTTGTCTGAGTCTTATCTGTGGTCAATGGAGCCTGCAAGGAAGAACTGTGTGGAAATGTTATGTTTTGAATGCAGCAGAGGCAAGCTGCGTGGCCTGAGTAGTGCCATGGAYAATTCTTTTTCAGCCTTCACTTTCTTGATTGTTCAGATGAATCCTGAGTGGATCGATAATCCTATGGGTCAGAAACTAATATGGGTCAGAAATTTTAATGAGACCTTTCCAGTGTCCCAGTAGGTGCTATTTATRCAGAACAAACCTCTAATATATGAACCAATGAGTAACTGGTATCACCAAGAACRCAGTCAGAGGTGAGGGACTGAAATACTGGGGACATAGACATCCAGCAGACWGAAAAGGCAGCTTACCAAATCAGCAATGGTAAGTCTCAACTTCAGGAACTATCTGGCTAGTTTAGGAAACGTAAAGAACATTGAAAACCTATTTCAAGTTTTCGTTTTCATATTTAATTTGCTGCTCTAGAGACTGATGTAGCACGTGGCTTAGAAGCTCATAAGAGAGAGGCCTCTCTTCACGGTCAGTCTGATACGCTGAAAAGCTTCTAACAGGGATGCGCTCCCTGCCCTTAATCAGGGGAGGCCTGATTTTAAGCCAGGAGTCTGTTTTGCACATGTAGGTAAGTAAAGTTTTCCTGCATCTGTTTTTACTAGATAATGTACTGGCTTGGGACATTAGGAAAATGAGAAGGTATTCGGTTTGAGTTTCCTTGTTAGTCTAGAAGAACACAAAAAGGCTTGGGACTGTTCTGTGTGTATTACCACACAGAATATTCTGCGTGAATATGCTGTCTCCAGACACATGGAGGCGAAGAAGGTGCTCGGGAGTAGCCAGCATGGATTCACCAAGGGGAAATCCTGCTTGACTAACCTGATTGCCTTCTATGAAGGAGTGACTGGCTGGATAGATGAGGGCAGAGYRGTGGATGTCATCTGTCTGGACTTCAGTAAGGCTTTTGACACCGTCCCTCACAGCATCCTCCTGGGCAAGCTCYRRAGGTGTGGGATAGATGAGTGGACGGGGAGGTGGATTAGGAATTGGCTCGATGGCAGGGTGCAGAGAGTGGTAGTCAGTGGCGCGGAGTCCAGTTGGAG